TCGTCCGGTACTGAAAGGCTACTCAGCATGTACTTGTTCGGTGCTGATTGCCGGATACGTTTGGTATCGACATGTGTGTTCACCCCTACATGGGCCATCGGTGTGGGACTGGGAGGTCTACAAGGCTCAAACGAAAACAAGCACCGATCGAGCTCGATGCAAAGTGTAGTCTTTGAGTAAGTTTAATGTAAACAAGTGTCTAGTATATCCGGTGTTAGCTTGCATTCAGAAAACAAAAAACGAGTGCAAGCTACGCAGCGCATTTCGCCTCCTGATTCGCAGATGAACGCGATGCGACAGAATGAGGAGGTCCAAAGTTCGAAATACACACATGAGATGTAGATCTATTCAAGTAAGTAAAAACTGACAGTGGAAAGGATGTGAGCCACGCTGGAAACCACGTCAGGTTTCGCCGTCTTCCATAACCAGTATCGAATCGCCTACTGCCTACTCGTGAGTAGCCAAGAGATTATGATCTTCCCTGCGGAAGAGCGGGTTTGCAGCGNGCGTTAGTTACCAAAAACGGATCCCCGCCGCTCCATACCCCGTAGACTGAGGAGATTCAGCTCCAGCGAACAAACGGTTTGTGAAGCCTCTTCATATAAGACATCATGTTAGGGCAGCGTAAATCAGACCAGAGTCAAGTGCCCGTCCTTGGAATGCCGCTAACCTCCAAAGTGTCGCAACCGGACGAAGAGATTCGTTGGACAAATCCCAGTTCCGCTAGTAAGGTGTGCTGGTTTGTAATAAGATCCACTTAACTGTGGTCTGACTATGTTCCTTCATAGGCGCGGACATTGCAAAATGTGCTTTCCAACCTCACTCGAAATTTCGAAAAGCTGTTTGAAAATATTGCCTGCGTTGAAAAAACCGGTCCCAACTGACTGCGCTAACAATTAGCCCGAGGCTGGAGGCTTCATCAATGGGAGCGGACTTAGTGCTATCACTTAATCTTAGGAAAAACTATATTCGCGGCACACACTTCAATATCCCAAATCCCTTTCTGACAGCTCTAAATTCAACCTTGAACTTCAGCGTGACCTTAGCTACATCAACTGCGCACTGATGATGTCTCCTCATATGGTGACGAAACGTTTGCAAGCCAATTGCCAATCTCGGCGAACAGATCAACAGCCACCTGATCAACAACCAATAAACTCACCCGAGCTACCAATATTTCACCACATTAGGTGACCAATCTTCACTGGACAGCACCGTCGCGCATTCCGGACATATCAGCAAAAGCTACTTTAGCAAGCATAGCATCGATATAAACACCAGAATCATGTACCGAACTGACTTTTTAGCTCAAACACATATCCCAGACTTTTATAGGACCCACCTGATCATATCGCGTACGTTTGCTAGCATCTGTGAAGGGTTGAGGCGGTTTGGGGAAAGGACCAGAAGTTGATTCCGCGAGAGGATTCAAGTTGAAGAAAGATGCGTTCTGGAAGATAGGGAGGTTTGGAAAAATAAAACAGAAACCGGTCAGATATACCTGGTACGGAAAACTACCATTCGGAAAGTCAAAATCGACGACAAGATATGAGTCATGCAACAGGGACTAATTCACCTGGGTAACATCATTCATACGCGACAGGCACGCTGCCATCCAGCTGGAGATTCCGGTCATGCTTCGCCAGAAGACGAGCGGAAAGCAAGAAGAAACCATGAAGCACATAGGAAACACGGCCTGCAATGATATAAATCCGAAAACAAGCAAGCGAGGAATGTCCCACACATGACAGAAACAGGTGAGCGGCTACACATGCCTCGTTAGTTTGTTCAAAACCTCTGTGATAACGCCAATTTCTGATTGACTAAGTTGTTCAAATTGCCGCTCTCTAAAATACGCACTGGTTTTTTAATTCTCAAGGTGTTGGCCTTTTGGAGAGGGTACACCATTGAACACATTTCATTTCCAGTTTGTTTCCAGTCTGATCGGACGCGCGTGATTTTTGTTTCATCAACTACATCGAAGTTGGACACAAGTAACTACACATATCCGAAGGAGGTTCAAACCAGCTAGTTGAATATGCCAAGGTTCAACCACCAAAATTAGGCGCAATGACTCACAGGATCGAAAAAGGCATGCTTCGAGGGGACAGGATCAGGTTGGGTGACCGTGCCTGTAGTAACAGAAATAGGTATTTCTCCCAAAACTTTACGCTTCCCAAGTGTAGGTTGTGGTGCTCGAGGCGCCATAGGCACAACGAAGGGGGAAGGATCGGCAGGAGGTTCCTGAAATGAGATTGGATTTGGGAAGTTGAGAAAAAAAGGATTATGAGATATTGAGAAAAAGCGAGACATGCAAAAATGCAACACGTACTGATGCGGCCAATGCTTTCGAATTAACGGGCGGTTCACTTGTGGGGATTGAAGCAGCTCGAAAAGGACCAACGCTGTATTCAGGCAGAGGGCCGGTTCCGTGAAGTCTATCATCTTGTAGTTGCTAAAAAGTGACGAACAGTTTGATAAAATCAAGTACGAATTCCAAAGTTAGCATCTGGAGAAAGTATTAGAAATAGGGTTCAGTTATTTACAAGTGAACCCAGGTCACTCGGCGGCAGCGGTTTTGTGGCTAACAAAGAGGTGAAACAACAGGGAGCATGACGTTCAGACAACCCAGTACAAGTAATCACGTAATCACAGGAGTTTCCCAAAAGCCGCCTGTATCTCATTGGCCGGAGTTCGTCTTAGTAGGAATTTTCGATTCCAGGCGCGTAACTTAAAGCCACATTCAGATGAACTGTTCCATAAGACTAGCGTGATATTAACCGAAAATTCACTGACTTGTCCAAGATTGCGCGTATGTGCACGCTTACGAACAGAGAGCTTTTGCGCTAAAGTCCCTTCAGAAGTTGTGAGCCTTCACAGGTCCTACGATCAGGTTTTTATTTGAAAAGTACATTTTACCCTCAATAGAGAAAAGGAACACACATATAGGGATGATCGGCAAATGCGGTGGACCAGCTACAAATTGTGCGCCAGCTACTGCTGGTTCCGTGTAGACAACGTTAACGGTTTATACATCCAATATCCTATTATTGGACACGACAGAGGGCTACAAACTGAAACCTGCAGTCTGTGACGAGGGGGCATTTAAAATGCCAGCAGGCCAACTGTGTGAAGACTAAAGATGGGTGAAAAATATACGAGAGTGGCTTACCTGAGAAACAGCTAATCTGACTGCAGAGTGATTTGAGGTTTGTTGAGAAACTGCGTTCCCTGACTTCTCTGCTGGACTGGCGACGCGGGCCTCTGGGCTGTGAATTTTTCCGAGTGCTCTTCGCGGAGAAACGATGGCGGTGGCCAAAGCGGTAACGGCGGCTCCCACTTTGGAGAGGACGGACGAGGAGGAATTATCCCGGTGTTCCTCTTGCCGTTGTGGTGAACGTTTCGATAAAATGGTGGCTAAGTAAGGTCAGGAATTTGGAGAGGGAGGTATAACAACAGATGGTGTATCAATCACTTCCACGAGATATGCCATTAAAATGAAAGTAAACGTGCCGCCGATAGTTGGAATGTGAGCAGGTAATCGCGATAGATGGAGCCTATCGTTGATTACAGACAACGATTGCTCTATTCTGCTCTGTCTGGGTTCTCACAGTACCATATATTCAGCACTCGTGCGTTTGGCCATTAAAACATCGGAGGAGATCAGCATGAAGTAAAGGTCAGCAACGAATGTACAAGAAAAACGCGCAATTGCCGAAAACACGTGTTGCGCGCTGTGAGTGAACGGTGAAATATTCGGTCAGCGAATCGACCTTGACGTCTTGCACATGTCTCTTTAAAGAGTACGAGACAGGCAATTTTCGCTTGCAATGATAAGTAGATGAGAAGTCGCGCGGCAATTAAAATGATGCGGCATGGTCGGTGCCCATTATCCGCACAATGCTCTCAGCTGCAAAACCTTTACAAGCGGAGTAAAAGTTTCTACGCCAAAATGTTGCATTTTGTTTAAACCAAAAACCGTTCCAATCTACGTTCATATTTTTGCAGGTCATCAAATTTCATTGTTCCCTAAGGCAACCATGCATCTGGTTGAAAAGTACTGTGGGATAATTTCCCAGAGACCCCGGACATCAAATTTCATTGTTCCCTAAGGCAACCATGCATCTGGTTGAAAAGTACTGTGGGATAATTTCCCAGAGACCCCGGAATGCCTGGGCTTGGCTTAGAAGTTTGGACTGGTACTCTCAAGTTAATTGCTAGATTGCTTTAGTCCATCAGAGACACGTCATATCATCCGAAAATTCAATTCCATTGTGCGAATACTGAGAGCCGGCATGGTCGAACTGGTGAGCAGGGGGAGGGGCGAATAAGCATCTTAGATACAGATTCATCGAAACGAACACTTTCAAACGAGACGATTAGCGTACAACGACATAGTTGGTCAGTACTACTAAAAGTCTAGAAAAAAGCCCCTCCGTTCACTGGGATGCCTCAAATTCTGTCGAACACCTGTAGTAACTATTCCGAGAGAGATTTTCCCCTATTACCGCAGCTTCTGCATTTCGCAACATGGTCATATAAAGCTTACTGAATGATATGATGAAGTATCTAGTTGCATGAATACAAACAGGGTCTAATTCCTAACATTGCAGCAGTTGGGCATCATTAAACTTTAATAATGGTAATGACAGGGAACCAAATGATGCCGGTCTGTTGTGGGAATCTTTTCCGTGAACACGCACCATACAAACCAAAGGAGCATGAGGGCTGACCTACCGTCAAGCCTAGGAAGTAATAACGGGAAGTCAATGGGATCAAGGCAGGGATCTTCCGGTCAGTTGTTTCGCCTCTTGACCACTAAACTATCTCTAGTTTAGGATATCTCTGTTTAGGATCGACGTGACAAGTAATTCGGTAGCAAATCATCGAACGGCCATGTGGTCTGTGATGCCAAAAGTGAGAAAAAATTGCAAACGTTGGTGATGGTTGAAGCATCTGGCCGTCCACCACACCGGGGACCGAAGAGATGACAAACACTACAAGCAGGTGGTACAGGCCCTGATACGCAGATAGTTCGGTAGGTACACTAGCCGTGGAAAGTGGGTTTGGTTGCCGGTCTACAAGCAAGCCCACAGTATGTGGGAAACAGTGAGATAGAAAGGCCTTAGATTCGAATTCCAAATGGTGGTAGAGACCTATCAGCTGAATGTTTGGCTCTGCATTAGATTTTTCTCTTGTTTGCGGCACCCAGTTAGCTAGGGCTAGCCTACACCACACGGGCGACTGGGTCCAAGTTTGCTTAACCCTGAGAAGTTGACGGAATGTCAGGTAAAACGAACGTCCAGTGATTCATTTCCTAGAAACAATCACAACCGGAATTTCACTGCCGCCGTGGTTCTATTGTTGCGCTGGAAGAGGAAGCTGGGATCGAGTGGACACTTGGTCTTTCACTCACAGCTTGTGAGACGTGCTGTTAGTTAGTTTTTGCTTGGTGAGACAAGCTACCCGATTATGTTCACGTTTGAAATGCTGACCATATAAGCCGTCATAAAAATCTCGTAGAACAATCCACGTTTTCACTGTCACAAGTGAGCAAACGCCAACCTATCACTCCGGATATCACACATATGCATTATTACTATATTGCCAGCTGTAGTAACCGCGTACTCGTCGTACAGTGGTTGTAGCTGCTGATAATTTTCTTTGGAGGGGGGGTAGGTAGCTGCGCATTGCACGCAGGAGATGATAAAGTGGTGCATAAATTCAGCACTGTCAGTGGGCTGTCAAGTGGAGGGGTTAGAAAAGGAGCTATGCATTGAAGGCAATAGCTTGGATGCACGAGCGTCATTGAGGGCGCCAATGGGCCATGTTCTGACAATGTCTCTAACCATTGATATGACCCGTCTCGGGGTCCCCATCCAGGAAAACGGCAATTACCAGCGCAGCTGAGTTTGCCGGTAATGGCTCTCACACTTCGCTGCCAAGTCATTGTTTGACCGCCTCTGGCTCTCTTCCACCCTTCACATGGTTGTGCGAAAGAGCCCTTCGAGGAAGTCGGTCGACTGGCATACGCAGCACGTGGCCAAGCCAGCGCAACCTATGCAGTGTAATCAGTTCATCTATCGAGGGTGAGTTGTTTCTCCCGAATACCGTTCGACATACTTCAGCATTGCTGATCCGGTGTCCCCACCAGATTCGGGCAATGCTCCGAAGACATCGATGGTCAAACACTGAAAGTATTTTGACGTCCTCGGCGCGCAGCGGCCAGGTTTCTGATCCATATAGTAATATGGAGCGCACCGCAGCATTGTAAACTCGACCCTTGACAGAGAAGCTGATGTCAGGCCTGCGCCACAGGTGACGTAGGTTCGCAAAAGCTGCTCTGGCCTTCCCAATCCGGATGGAAATATGCATTTTTGTTGCCAATACGACGGAAAGAAAACAGAAGGCGGAAGAAAGGTGCATAAATAAGCATTTTTCATACTGCAGTCTCGGGATGAAGTGTCTCAGGGAGGTGGCTTCGCGGAATGCAGGACTCCCGACATGGCGTCTAGGAATGTAGAGTCTGTGACATGTTTTTCCTGGATAGCGTAACGGACCAACTATCTCATAAATTCACTCAAATGAAATGAATACCAGTCAGAGATTATCATGGAAAACTAGAGAGATGAACTAAGTGCTGTTTCAGCACTTTCTTCAGTCTAGTGAGGCCAAAGGGCGGTTAAACCGGAGCTTGAAACAAGTCTGTTGATTCGAGGTTGAGGTAACATATTATTAACCAGCATCATTCATTGTGACTGGAAACTGGATCGCAATAGAGCGCACCTCACTCGACACCTACCTCGGCCCGCGAAATTCAAACCAAGACGAGGAACTCACTTGGAGTGGAATGGAGGGGAATCTGAGGGGGCTATATCAACCGCTAGGGTGAGACATTTCTACTGTTTGACCAGGAATTCATGCGCCACACGCTACGGTGAAACATTTCCGAAACTTTTTCACTCACTATACGTAAAAAGCACGTAGACAAGCAAGCTGGAATCAACATAAATCGTAGTGAATGACGACAGAACGTTTTGCACCTTCGATGCACAATTACACAACTGTACTCCTCTAATGCGAGATCTCGAATATCGTGCCAACTAAAATATGAGGCGGCCTGTGTGCAGCACATTCAGCTGTAGAATATCATAAATGGGAAATTCACTTGAGTCTCTCGTGAAAACCAAATCGGTTCGCAAATGAGTGTATTTCTCGAAAACAGTGCAATTTGGGTTCAAGTAGAACATGAGGTTGATAGAAACTCGGGGACTGTGCCTACCTGATGAGCCCCAAGAAGGGCGAAACCGGTCGTGGGTTGTCGAAGAGTTTTCACCAACCTTGTGAGTAGTTTCCTTTATGAAAACATACTCCTAACTGTTTTCGAACCAAAATATGCAGATTTAAACAACTTACATCCTTCGTGCGAACAACCGACGGACGATGAATAATCCTTTATGGGTTGCGGTGTGTCAGTTAGGCTGCCATTTGAACTCCGACCATCATCGTCACGAGGAGGAACAGTAGCGCACATCGCAGCCAGCCGCGATGCTATTTTTGGATCACAAACCTGTAGCATGTAGTTTCGATACCTCACGACTTTCTTGTTCAGTTTGGCTATTTCCTCCTTATCCTTAAAAAGAAGATAGCGTGGTACAGTTATTTGCCACCAAATACTGAAAGAGGTTCAACCACAGAAGCGCAGAACAGTAAATTAAAATGTTTGTTAATTGCATAGATCTGTGCATTTTCGGACGCGCAAAGTATTCGGTCTAAGAACCGATGGAACATCTGCCGTACGAACACGACCTATCCATGACAATGATTAGTTCACTCGCACTTATTCGAACAGTATTTTAGTGTCTGACTACCATGCCACCAGAAGGGAACAAGATGGCTGAGATACTGCCAGGTCGCGCACGCCAAGACGGCAGAAGTCGAGAGGCAGAGGTCGGGTTCGAACCACGGCGCTCTAATCAGTGAGCTATCTCACTTATACGTACCAATACATACGTGATTGACTATGTCATGCACTTTAAAAGCATTCGTGGACCGCAAATAAGTAACAGGTCAAAAACACACAGAGCAGCTACCGAAATTATGGAGGGATACCGGTCAAACAATAAGATAACGAAAAAAACTGTCATATGTAAAATGCAGTGGCAAAGATAGTAGGTGAGGGAACTTACCGCCTCTTGTTGTTTTACGGCAGAATCCAACTCAGTTCTCAGAGAAGAGCACATCTTTTCACTATTGGCAAGTTCATTGGCAAGCCTTTGCAATTTATCCTGGGCATCGTTCCGCTCCAGCACGAGTTTCTCGCACATATGTTGCTGATGACAGTGAGAAAATATAAATAAGCGTAGATGGGGAATAGAACAGGGTGACAGGGAGTTACAAGGAGGGTGGAGCACGTACCTGTTTTGTAAGTAGTGTTATCGGGCTGGGCAGAGGTTCGGTGGGGTCATGGTTTTCGTCTGTGATGGCAGAAAATAACCACGGACAACGCTGAAACAAAAAAGTGGACGTAAGGGATGATTATGGGAAAGGTCTAGAGGAAGAGACCGTGTGAACAGTTGCAAAAGGGTGTTTGTTCAATGATACCCGCTGAACTAACGGAACAGTGAGCTCAAATAGTCTCCCCAAATAAATAGACATCTCAAGATGAATGAGATGGGGTTGGGAGTTTTGCTAAAGTCACCATGTTGCTTCAAAAGAGGAAGGAGCGGTGAGCGTCCAACATGCCTTATCTACGGCTGTATACGCACGCAGATCGAATAATATCTGTCCTGACAAGTTATTTCCTGTCAGCCGCATGAGAACAGTAGGGGGTATTTCACACAGAGAAGAATCAATAAATGCGAAAGACAAAGTGGACCATGGAGAACGGAGAACGTACACATCGCTAGCGCTTGGGTACTAAGTCCTGAATAGATGCCCTGGATGAATCAACAGTAGTGAAGGATAAAGTTTGGTGGAGATTCCGTCCTGTACGTGAAGCCAATCTATACGGAAAAGCCTAGAGGCATCCATAGTGGTAGTCGCCAGCAGTGCGCAACCCACAAAACTCCAGAGTCTCTAACCCGCAACCTCCTGGTTAGTAGTCTGAACACGTGACTATTCAAGCGGCCAATCAGCATTACCAGTAACTCGCGGTTAGACCGCGCCACTCATTCCTTAATCACCGAATCCACATCAAGTGGTCACGTGTCGACTGGCTGCTCAATCTCCTCCTGAGGTTTGAATCGCTGACGATCGCCAGTGAGAATGGAACAGTCGTACCGTGCCTCTCGGCTTAGAAGCATAAATAGGCTCTACTTACAGTAGGAAATTTTCACCAGACTTATCTTCATACTACCAATGAAAAGGGAAGGTGTAAGCGATCCGATCAGGATAATGAATGCGAACAAGTGTTGACTTCACATCATGGACCGTCTTCCTCAACTACGGCTGACAAGTACGTCGCACAGGAGTGAAACTGGCATCAAATAAGACATTCGGGCTCGTGTGTTCATTAATTCACTCATTTGGGAATAAACTATTAGTTAGATATTGTTGACTCGTCTAGTCCAGCCGCACATTAACTGAGTCGCTAGTGGCTCACTTGCCCTTCCGTGGGAGACTATCTCACTCACCAAGGTCAGTGTTGAGCGTGAACGTGAAGCGAAATTACAACCTTGTGAAATTCACCTGATGGGAAACAGTCTTGAAAAAATACGGTCAACATATGAACAAGCGGTGTGGTACCCACAGACAACACTTAAGTTGGTGGAATAGACTGGCGCTTTTCCACCAAGAAGGCGAATCGATCGACAACTTACCTTCAAGATCGTATCCAACGCATGCGACAGTCTTGGAAGAGACTCACGAACGAATGGGAAGAGAGAATGTGGAACGTAACGGTCCACAACTGCTTTAAGGGTATCTGAGAAAAGAGATACAAGAGACACAGTATACGAAAGCAGCTCGAAAATAACTAAATAATAGAACTTGAGCGCTTAGGCGGTAATCAGTAGCTTAAACCAGGACTACACATTGCTGGGTTGAAACTCAGTGAAAATTCATTGCCCGTATCCTTCATCATGCTCGTTGTACCGACATCCATTAATTGGGGTTTCCTGGATGATTCTGTGGTTTGATGGCCACCACAAGTCATCGAGTTTCAAGCGATTTACAGCTTTGATGTTTGCTTAAGCCAGGGAACACAGGTTTGCAGTGGTCAAATCAGTGCACAAACACCATCCAATCGAACCCAGACTTTCCACCCTTCCTCTCTATTTGTATAGGCGCTACGACAAACGGATCAATCGTGCTTGTTTCCAGTATAAAGGTATAATTTCGAAATTTATAATGTATAAATTCTTTTGGTAAGCCCTTTCAAGACATTGGTTCAGTCCGTTCCAGGTTCGTTCCCCGATAATAATAATAATAATAATAATAATAATAATAAAAGTAATGATAATCGTTCATAACTAACATCCCTCTGGTGCCCAACTGCCATGCTACCCGAAGGATGCACGAGAGATGGGATAATACCGGGTACCTCAAGCCTAGACAGAGGCAGTCGAGATGTTGAGGTTGGGTTTGAACCACGGACCTTCTGGTCAGTACACCCGCGCTTCACCCACGTGCTGTGAACAGTGACTTCACTAGTCCAGTGCAGTTACAGGACTGCTGAACGCGAACTCAGCAGAGGTGGAATAACTCAAATGAACTGAATAATAAGTATGGTATGTTTAGTGTTAGGGCGCAAATGACTATGCTACTGGACTCTTCAGCAAGTGGATTACACTGGGCCGGGAGACCACCCCGAAAATACAGAAGATCGAACTAATCTTTGTACGTCTTCAATTGTGGTCATATTTCTGGGTTGATAAAAGTGTGCAAAGGTTAGAATGCGTACATTTAAGTGAGTGCATATCAGATTTCACGACTGGTGCGGTATGACTTGGCACGCTCATCCGATGGATTGCATAGCAGCCATGGAACGAATGGACGCTACAGGTGAACGATTATTTGTAGGTAATGAGTGGACCTTAGGGTTACAAATCTGGGGTTCACGGTGCAACCTCGTACTAAGGACTTTGGAAGCACTTGAAAGCCGTTGCATCCATGTTGCAAATAAACAATAATGCGAAACTCTGCCATGTGCTTCGAACAACGTTGTTTTTTCTCAGTGGTTCTGATGTCTATGATGAAATCTAAATTTCCAGTAAAAGCAACTTCAACGTTGTACGGGAAAGAAAATATCGCATCTGCAGTACATGGTGATCAGCAAGCTACTCAAAATAGCAACTACTGACGAGTTCCAAAGAAGTAGACGACAGTGCTAGTAACATTTGACAAACTGAAAAAGTGAGAATAAGGTCACCTTACCTTTCACCTGGGAGTATTCTGTTCTTAACTCTTCGCACTTTTGAGTGTGTTCAGCTTTCAAACTTTCGTAAGTGTCTTTCAGGAGAGCATAGTCGGCTGAAAAGCAAAGGTTGTAGCTTAGAAAGTGGGGTATCTGCATACTTAACAACGATACAAATTACTAAGCGAAGATACAGAGTAAATCGATTTTGTCTGCATTGCACGGCACTCGGAACTGGCGACGCACCGACTCACCGTCCGTTGTGGTTCTAGGTTCACTTTTCTTATTGAAGACCCATTGCGTGTTCATCACCTCAGTCAATGTGCACACCTGAAATACGATCTTACGACACAGCACAGTCAGTCTGTTATGCTCTTCCATCGACATCTGTTGCCACAAATGTACATGCAATTTTTTGGGTGGTAGAACCGAAGAAACTTAGGCTGGCCATTGACGTCGAGACAGTGAACGAATGGATGATCCAAAAGTGTAGATTCTATTGCTAGAAGCGAACTTTTCCTTTCCATGACCATGTAATATGAAAATAATAAAATAAAATCGTTCAGCTGTAGCATCCTTCCGGTACTTAGCTGCCATGCCACCCGAACGACGCACGAGGGCTGGGATACTGCCGGGTTGTCCAAACCAAGACAGGGGAAGTCGAGAGGCAGAGGTTGGGTGCGAACCACCGACCTTCCGGTGTTCAAACACATTTCCGTCAGAGCAGAGAAGAGTTTAAATCGTTCATTTCAGTACGTCCGCCCTGCCAAAACGGACTCTCAGGTGAAAATGGACGGCAGGTTCTCGATATATTCCCACCAAACGAAGGGCCAAGAGGGCTTGCAGAAAAGCATGCATCCACGAACACGTTCCAGAATGAACGCATGCGATCGTCATAGTACTGTGGGATGTAACCTAATGAAGGCGATTGTGGATGGGGATAACAAGACATGATTACCCTCTTCTGTGGTTGATACTAGGAAACCGGTGTACCGACAAAACAGCCTGGATAACTCGGACGTCATACGTCTCGAGTATCTTGGTTGAGTTAAATGTGCAGGTCGCGAATAGATGCGGAATTTAACGAGCCCGAATGATGGCAATACCGAAAGTTTGATATTCACAGGAAGTCGATCGAGCAAAGCGCCTTTGTCCATTGCACTAATTGTGTGAATTTTTAGGGGAGCAGACGGTGGGAAAAACAACAGCAGCGGTAAGGATGAAGTGATGATAACGAAAAAAGCCGCAAAATGCTTGCTCGGATACTTCACCCAAGTAGAAGTGAAGTTCACAGCTGGGTATTGAAACATTCACACTACTTACAAAATATAAGTAGAGACGAATCAGAAAAGTTCTCAAGATAAGAGCAACTGCAGGTGCCAGTAGGAAATCTTGCTCCGTAGATGAATGCATGCACAATACATTACAAAATAGAATCCAATTCTGGATGACCCCGTCTCCTGGGTGGTGACAAACCAGTGCAATTTATGGCAATGCGGATTTAGCAAACGCCGCTAACGGTGGTCATACGCTTGAAGTAAAAACGACAGGAAAGCATTACCTGTCGCTTGAAAGCGAACGAATCAACAGCCTGCCTTCCCCTAACATGAGCACTACCTTCGAAAAGAGGATAGTATACCGAAAAGACGAACAACATTCTACTCCGATTCTTCCGCCTAATTCAAATGTCCGACGACCGGAATTTCACAAGTTCCTTCTGGACTCAGTACTGGATTATGGGGAATCAGAGAGTGCCCGATATGCAGAGACAGGAAGCGGGTGGCAGGCTTCCTCGTTACCATCGACTCTATCCCCCCTACCGTTTGTCAACCCCAATCCTTCAATGTTCGAAGACAGAGCGTCAACAGTTGATTGCATTCTCTGCGCTGAAACCGCGTCCAGGGTAGTGCCACAAGCACGTAACTGATATAACGCGTCAGCTAATGTTTCGTACTTATTTAAACGATGAGGTTCCGACGCCAAACCATATTGTACCACCTGCAACATCTACCTGCTTGTTTCATTCAGCATAGGTTTCATCTCTTCTAGTCTTTTCAGTTCCATGACTTTATTCTTGCTTATGGGAAGCTTCATCGATTGCTGAATTTTCCAGGATTTCACATTTGTGTCTTAGCTGTTTACCAGTCGACACCAGTGAGGGTTGACTGTACTGACTGCTGCGAAGGTTCCCAACCGGAGATAAATTTCTTCAAGAATAGGAACCTTGGCACTTTAGAGGAGGGATTCGGTGGTGGTACAATTTTAACTTGTTCTGATTTATTCTCTACCATATTTCAGGAACAACCACCTTCTCAAATGAGTTAAACGTCCTACTTTGTTGAGTTTATTCTGAGAGAATAGCCTCCCATATTAAGGTCATTTTGACCATTCCTGATAGGTTATATTCGTTGGGGGGTGGGGGAGCGAGATCGCTCAAGTGGATAGAGCGCGAATTTACCGACCGGAAGGTCCGTGTTTCGAACCCGACCTCTAGCTCTCGACTCTCCCTGTCTAGGCTTGGGCAACTTGGCAGTATCCCAGTCCTCGTGCTTCCTTCGGATGGAATGGCAGCTAGGCACCGGAAGGGTGTTACAGCTGGACGGCAAATAATCGTTCAGCTGTAGCACTCTTTTGGTGCCTAGTTGCCATGCCACACGAAGGAGGCACGAGGGCTGGGATGCTGCCAGGTTGCCCAAGCCTAGACAGGGGAAGTCGAGAGGCAGAGGCCGGGTTCGAACCACGGACCTTCCGGTCAGTAAATTCGCGCCCTAACCACTGAGCCGTCTCGCCCCGTAATACACTTGAAAACATCATAAACGAGAGATTCAGCTGGGTTCCAGTTGAGTCTCCCTTCAAAACCAAACTCGTATGCAAATGAGTGTATTTCGCTATTTTCCATATGTATCTGAGCCAGATATAGGCAATGCGCTTCTGCAGGTCAGTAAAAATGTGCACAAAAATATAGGAAATCCTGTGTATCCCAGAAGGTATCGCGGAATACTGGCACTAATAACATGCAACTGATGGAGTGTTGCTTAAAAACGCGGTCAGTTTCAGCGTTATCGGGAGCTGGGGTTCTCACGTGCTCCTTCGATTTTGGCTACAGTTTGGTCACGCTCTCTACGCAATCAATAAGTTGAAATAAGGGAGAATTTGAGTGCTATTCTGACAAAGGAGTACCGGTTTCAAAAATAAGTCTTTTTACGGAATGTTTTGCTGATCTATTGATTAAATTTACCGTTTTCTACAGTTTTTACCTGACAGTCGGACTGAATCGCACCGTGGGGAAAGAAAGAAACCCAACGCCAATAACGGTCACTCACATTTCACCTGATCGTAACCAAGACGTAGATGTGCACATTCTTTGTTGCGCTCGGCGTTCAATGTCTCCAAGTTATTCCTGAGGCGATCTGATTCGTCTGAAAGACACATTGAGATAAACACTTACTACTAAAATAACGGTTCAGACGTCAATAGCCAAAACCAATGATTCCACACTTGGAATTCATTTTGCAAAATACCAGAAAGAACAATCCACGGACTTGAACAATCACAAAGTCAACAAGTCCTACCATCTGCTCAAAGCGGGTTGATTGCCTGGAAGTAATGTGTTAGAGGGAGCCAGGTAGCGTTACTATCGCGATATAAGGTCATCAAGAAAGGCCCCGTAGCGCAGCTCCTCTTATTACTGTTCTGTAGGGCCTTGCTTGACTGAGCCCACCCAAGCCTTCTGTGCAGGAACAGTGAATAATTAAGCAAGTGTCTTCTTGGGAAATTGCTGTACTGTCGTGCAACCTTAGAAAATGGGACCATGGTGGAAAGCTTCTTTGGACGAGTAGCTGTTTTGTAAATATGATCAGATCAGTTCACTAATGTCCTGCCACAACAAGTAGCCAGTTTCAACCACCACAAAAGTTGCTGAAAACTTTTCGACAGCCCACGACCTGTTTTGCCCTTCTTAGGGCTCATCACGTAGGGGCAGGGCCCGAGTTCCCATCAACCTTATGTTCTACTTGAACCCAAATTGGACAGATTTCGAAATAAACACTAAACTGCATACTAATTTGGTCTTCACCAGAGATCCGCTTGGATTTCAGCTGAAACTTTCGCTTAAAATGTCCTCGTATCTAGATCGTTGGGTATTTCCAATGGCTACTCAAAATTAAAAGTCTACACAAATACTTTGGCAATAGCGATTCCATCCTGCAAGTAAAGCCAATATATACTGCCAAATCATTGGGACTCATCGTTCATGAAACATCAGCATACATTGGGCATCCCATGGCGCACCGAGCTATATGGAAGGTCGTTCGCGTAGGGCTGTCTCTAGTGTCAAGTTGATCAGTGGGTAGATGTCAGACTGACTGCCACTTCGTGTTCGCCTCTCGGACCTAGTTCTCCTGTTATCATTGCGATTTTTTGTGTGAATTCTGAGGAAAATCGTCCAACAGTCTGTTCTGTCGTGCACTCTTGACAATTTAGGAACAGAAGTTTGCCATTAGCGATATACACAAATTTGGTTTTGCCAGAGACTCACCTGGAACCCAACCGAATCTCTCGTTTGTGAAGTTTTCAGTTTGCAAATGAGTGTATTTCGCTAATTTCGTGCGATTTGGTTTCAAGTAGAACATAAGGTTGACGGAAACTCGGGGACTGCACCTAGCTGATGAGTCTCAAGAAGAGCGAAACCGGTCGTGGGCTGTCGATGGATTTTCAGCAACCTTATGAGTAGTGCATTAAGAAGCTTACTATGTTTCTCAGGCCCAAAAACGGGGTCCAGTTACACTAATCGAGTAGACCTTACTTATCCGGTCGTTGCCGCCAACGATATTCACGAGATTCCGCAACTGCCGGTTACGACGGCTTTGGCTTAGCTATCGACTGGCGAGCCAAGCCACCTGACGTCTTTGCGGCGGGCGTTCATTTGTCAAATTTCGTAAGAACCAGTACCAGCTGAAACTACATACACTATTTATCTGTACAAAAAGCTCGGCACAACAAGTTCAGATTTTGTCTTATCATCGGGGATCCTAATACACAAGCGTTGTGTTTCAGTTTATGCGGGCCGTGAATTTGTGGTCTGCTCAGCTCGCATTCTGTCCCCGCTCCAGTGCCGTAGTGCCGGAAAAAAAACCGTACAGCTGTGGCGCCCTTTCGGTGCCTAACTGCCATGTCATCCGAAGGTTGCACGAGGGCTGGGATACTGCCAGGTTGCCCAAGCCTAGACAGGGGAAGTCGACAGGCAGTGCCAACAAAGAACACAAGATTGCGACAAGCGAGTACAAAAAGTTACAACGGCCTCGCGCTGCTGAAAGGGCACATTTTGACAGTGATCCAGGCTGCCTGATTGGCATTTAGTGAACACCCATCAATATGGACCGTGCTACTAAGAAATGCCCGATTACATATCATGATCGGTCGTGCTTCTGTGGTAAGCCTGGACACTCATCGGCCGTTGCTGAAATGATTGGGTGACTGACCGGCCTGGATGCTTGCCGGCATCCTAATGAGATTTTGGTGGAATTTTGGGGTCTCAGTAGGTTCCGGGCATTTTAGTGTTATTTTCAGGAATCTGAGCTTCCTGACAGGTTCAAAACAATGATGACAGTGACGATAATCCCTTACGGCTTTGTGCTCATAAGCAATTTTCCTTCAGTATTGTTGGGTTGGAAGCAGACACTTTTGCACTTCTGCTGATGAATAACCATAGAGGCAAATTTATCGCAGCTAGTGACAAGCGACAGCGAGACACTATTCTTACTGATAGCGGTGTAAGATTCCAACAAGAACAACAATCTGAGATACCTATGGTGCCAAAGCGGTATATCCTGAATCTCAGCGCACTTGTGTATCAGGCTACAGTGCGGGTTGTCTTGTTGTATAGCTAAGAGATTTGGCCTAATCGAGCAGAGGAACTGAGACAACCGTTGTCTAATAACCATAGCTCGTGAAGGTCGGTGTACGCGAATCCGTAACGAGACGATTAGAAAGCGAGTTTTCGGTTGTGTAACTTGGACTCCCATCAACCTAAGTGTCCAGCACCAGAAGTTAAATTGGTTAGGCCATGTATTGCGTATGCCAAACCATCGTTTCCCGGAAAGAATGCTGTTTTCCGTTCCCAGTTCAGAATCGCGGAAGCAGAGAGGTAGCCAACACTTGACCTGGCAGAGGGATGTGAAAGAGATGGCGAAACGTTTCGGTGCAACTCGCTTCCAGGATGGAGACCGCGTGATCCCCACTGCGCTGCAAAATATGGAGTTTCTGTTCGATAAGATTGGCAAATAATGCTGAATAAAGTCCGCTGATGGCGTTTTGCCCCAACAGGATGGCCAGGCGTGTATATTACAATGGTTTTGGAGGACGTAGGTACCTTGTCCTTGGTCATTTCACCTGGGAACGTGGGGGTCGCTTTCACATTTTACTAGGGTCTTCTTCCTTTGTGGTTGTATGGCAGTTTCGTCACTTGTGTATTGCTATCCATGACTATAGCAATCCGGCGTTAGTCTGTACACAAATATTCGGATATGTCTCTGAAGGTACTCTTTTCTAAGTCCCGCAGGTCGAACAGTCCGAAGAACGCAGTTGATCGATCTGCTGCGACAAACATGAGGGTAAAAATAATTTTTAAAAAAATAAATTGTTCAGCTGTTGCACCCTTTCAGTGCCTAACTGCCATGCCACCTGAAGGTTGCACGAGGGCTGGGATACTGCCATGTTGCCCAAGCCTAGACAGGGTAACATAAGGGTAGCTACTTACCTAATAAATAAAAAACAACAACCATGCACAAACGAAGAAGAAAAGGCCGGCAAGTACGTGAGACATAGCCACAATCAAGCCGGCAAAGTCAGGTGATCGCTTACCTTTGGCCTGACGGTAGGCCTCTCGAAGCTGATCATATTCATCGCAACGTTCAGTCCGAGCCTGTTCTAGTTCGGCTTTTAAACGAACAGATAAATCTGGAAATTAAACAAGACAAGCATAAATGTTTCGAACGAGGCAATACAAGAAAAGAAAAAACACTCGGTGAACCTGCTCGTCTGATATGACAGAGGACCAGACCTTAACATTTAGTAGGGTCACGGATGCGCACTTCCGATGGCACTGAATGCGGAACAAACAAACCAAAGCAAAGCTGATGCGGATAAGAACCCTATCAAGTTACAATTATAGTCCACTCAACCCCACCACCGGACTTGCTGAGGGTCAGTTTAATTATGCAAAATCCGTCCATGATTCAAATTCAGTTAACAAGGGAAAATCAAGAGAACCAAGTTCATCTCACTAACACCTGTTTCTAAAGGTCAAACTAAACCCTTGTTTCGGAGGTGACAGTACACCCGGTCCACAATCTGTCTTGTTTATCAGCGCAGTAGCATTCAAACTGTGAATTATGGAACCCGATAGCTCAAAAAGGCATCGCCCGGACACCACTGAAAGCTTTAAAGACAATATAATTTTTAGAGAAAATTATAATGAGGTATGGCTACTAATGATAACCGTTTGTGGTGTTCCGCTCTCCGAAATCGACCTTTAACCCCTCGATATTTCAGAACAGATAGATAAAATATAGATAGTTGCTGTCATGCCTAGCGGTGAACCGGGGTTCATGGTGCAGACACTTCAGTCTTCTGAGTGATTTCAGGGCCGACTCCAGACCCAACGTTGATCTAAAGGAAAATCCGTGTCGGTGCTGCTTAACAGCTGGTTGGTTCGTTTGTACCTGGATATTGCATGCGATGTCAACATCCATTATCGATCACATTCTTATTTGCCCTACCATGGAGTCGACGGAGCATGCGACCAGTATCTGCGATGACATATTCCATCTGAATAACCGGATTCACCACTTCATGCTGTTCACTGACGATCCCGTCTGTGGCACATGTTACCTGTCGGACACCAGACCCAGACCTTGGTTGGAGTTCTCTGGTCTGGCGGAAACCACGATCACAAATATGCAACGGTATTTGGTCGGTTCCACCGAGTTAGCTACGGCCTGGGAGCGCGCAAAATGATGCCGCAACCTTCGAGGATGACTTCAGTTGTTGTGCACAGGCCTACGCTACCATCGAGTCCAAACCAATAGTCACCCACTACCCGATCCGAAAAGATCCATATCTGAAGAAGTCGTCTCCCTCGTCGATGCAAAACTCAAAACCTCCCAAGGTATTGGCGTACTAACACTTGGCAATTATTCTGCATGATCAGCGCCGATCGTGGTGATGAAGTCTACTAATGCTAGCCGAAAATCTACTGAATTTTGAGTGGGCGCCAAATCTGCTTGTGCGACAATAACTATTCGATTCAAGTTCCCGAAAGTCTGCTTGAAATTCCCGAAGGTGCCAAACTGGACCTAAATGTTCAATATCTGCACACTGCTATCGATGCCAACTCGCGTTATCTGCCTAAAATTAACACGCAAAGTACTCTCCTTCGGTTCGGTCGGTATGAAAACAGCCCCCAACAGCCTTTCAACAGACTGGATACAATGCTCACCGGCTTACCGAGAGTTACTTGGACGATATAACTGCCGTTGGCCACAAGCCAGAGGAGCTGGTGTAGCACATTCAATATATGGCCTTCACGTCAAAAATTGTAAGTCTTTGAGATCCACTGAGTACTTAGGGCTATTGGCCGCCGACTGGGTCCATTGTGCGACCAGAACGATGTCTGTGGTCAAGGATTTTTGTACGTTATGAACGTTTCTTCGTCTCGCCTGCAACTAGTGTCATCTTGACTGCTGCGTACGAAGTACATATTTCTAGCAGTCTGCTGCTCAAGGACGCTGAATAACTATGGTCCGAGAAATCTTAGTGCATAAACCAAAACCTGTGATCGACTCTTGAGCCTGGGACCATCATGGCTACAACCTCAATTCAGCTTGCCATCGGACGATGTGCTCGAGAAGGCCCAGACGATTCGGTTGGTCCGGGACGGGTGTTTAGGACCTAAGTTCAGTGGTGACTTGAGACAGCTGTATCTCCGCCTGTTATTGATGAATCCAGACTATGTCGACCGAGCCGTTAACCAGTTACTAAGACCCGTGATTCTCAGACGATTTCACGACGGTCATCTATCAAGAGAGCACACCAAATACTCTCCGCGGCAATGTCCGCTGAATCAACTTGGAGGGCAACATTAGAGGGTCGGTGGAACGACCCCCCTAAAGCATGGTTAAACCCGCCGTATGTGGGGCCCAAACAACAATCGACAATCGAACACCGTCGGTTGCAAGCTTACATTAGATTCGATAGTCCTGCCAGTAGTATCATTTGCGTGGTTGTCGTGGGCACTTTCAAGGTGGTATGGGATTATTCCGTCATATCTTCAGACAGCACAAACCATCAGGATCATTGGCATCTGCTGATGACGTTCAGTTTATCTCCTCACGAGTCGGAGAATTTCGCCGCATGTTGGGTAGTGTACACACCCAATTTATGCCGTATCATCCTTAAACCAACGATTCGTCGGAACATCCATGGAGATACTGAGCAGGGCTTAACGAATAAACAGCTATAGCGAGAGAACTGAGGCGTTCGGTGAAGTGAATGGAACATCTAGTGTTGTTTGGAGTAGGGATTCTAGCAGATTGCCTGAATATACAAACTGCTTGTGTAACTTACAATAATCGACAAAAACTGGTAAAAAGCAAAGTTCTGTTAACCATGCAAGATCGATATAGCAATGGGAACTAACTTTTGGCTTGGTGGCATTCAACGATCAATTCCTCGATCTCTTTGGTGTGCTCCTTGCGTACCCTTTCCAATTCATCCTTTAGGCGATTGACATCACCTGAACATGGAATAAGTACTAAGGTGATGGAGCATGTGTGCACGAAAGTGTTGAGAAACAGGGCACATTGCTATGCAATAAACGGTATTCCAAGTTTAACAGTACGAGGACTTTGGTGTACATAGACGAGATCACTCAGTTTGGTAGTATCATCATCGGTACCAAAAGCACCATAAAAAAGTGTTCATTACTGAGGAAACATTTTTCGGAAACCCATTTAGGACTTCTTATTGTCAGTAGAATTTAAGTCACTGATGTAACCCAAAGAAACTATCTGGAGTAGCCCAGTGAATAAGACACATTGGACAAATTGTAGGGTTCCAGCACAACAAAACATTTCTTTGTTTAAAAAAAAAAACAGATTCATCGGCTCAGTCAGATGTGAAACAATTTGACTGACATCTGACTAGCACTTATATCAGAGATGCCACACCGACCAGTCGCTTTACCATTGCGGTGGTTACGATTCACAAGATGGTGAACAAACATTAGTTGCAAAACAACCGCCAAGAGTCAAATCGGTCGATGTCAAAGCCTAATAAATGCCGTGACAAACGGGGGTACCTAAGAAGTAGGTATGCGTTCAATCCTCCCTCATGCCTCACATGAGACTAGGGGTGATGCGTGTTGTGTTGACGTAATTATTACTGGTCACTGGTTAGTAGAATTCTTTTGGAGTTTTATGGAACTTTCGTCCTGTAGGCCAATCCATGCTGAAAGGCTTACCACTGTACAACTGTTTCATCCTCATTGGGAGTCATCATCAATGAGCATCCCAAGAAACTCAAGTCTCGAATCGTGATCTCCCGGTTAGTAGTTTGGATACATAACTGTCAAGCCAGAGGCGGCTGATCAGCGGTGTGATTAACTCACTTGCACAGGATGTAGCACCACTCACCCTTCTTTCGAAAGAATTCGTTGCTCGAGGAGCCAGTCAGCTTGTGTGTGTATCTTATCCGAATCGCATGATTCAAGGATGAGTGGTGCCACATTCTAAGTGCTGATCACTTCCGATCAGCCATTCATGGCCGTATTTTTAAGTGTTCGAACTAACTACCGAGGGGTCGCGATCCCGAGACTTTCCGAAGTTTCGTGAGGTGCGCACTGGTGAGGATTCCTGGTCGAGATGAAACAGTGCTTCTCGGCTTTAGGCCGCTTACGGGACGAAACCTCTATCAAAGCATCCAGTGACCTCTTGAAGCCTAGTGTGGAGGGGGCAGGCACAATCCCAGACATTAGAGTTACTAACCATACCACTACTGCTGATGTCGACCACGGTTTTCGATGAAGTGGTAACCAGTTTTATCTGTTAAGTAATGGGCTTCATCGAAAACGAAACAACCATCCAGACATTTTAGCAATTCGTAAAGCAAATGCAGATTGCGAACGAAGTTGGGAATCAAATCCGGTCTTGTAAAACGGCGTGGTGATATGTACCAGGATGAAAACCTAACTTCAATTGCCATGCGAACAGGGGGAAGAGCGCTCACAAGGCGCTAGAATCACGAATACTCGGTAAGCTGCCAAGTTAAACGTTTTAGTTCGGCTTCCAAGATGGTATAAACCAGTAGTCAAGGCTGAGGAAGATCCATCTACGGAACAGATGAAACTGCGGCCAGCTGCACCATTACGTACTCACGCAGCATTCTCTGGAAATACAACAGGAATGCTTCCGGTACAATGCAAATCATAAAACAATCGTTAGATCGTAATGTAACTAAACGCCAAATATGGTATGTTGAAAATCTCCGCTTGATTGTCGGTCAGCAGGAACCACTTCCGATTCAGTAGCGTAAACAGTGTAGTTGGAAGCCAGGCTCCCGTAAAGTAGAAACAGAACGTGCCTAGTTGCTCCCTTATTTCCACCCCTGGGTGGCAGCATCGTGATACTTTCCGCACACTGAGGTCGTCTCGTGCACTTAGTCATCATGGTAAGCATATTGTCACTTATTAGCCTGGGAGAATATTTAAGGGTTTCTTGTGTGCTAACCCCCGAAATATACTAAGATAGCGAAAGCGGTAAAAAAAACATTCCAACGGTATCGAGTATGCACCTCAATCCTGACTATTTTCTCGAGGCTGTCTGCCTTGAATTACTATCAATCCCTTGCACCTTATTTGGGATAACCCTTTTACATGAAGGAGGTGGGTACCTGAGCTCGTCTAGGTGGTAGTAGAGTTGTTCTCCGACGATTGCACTTTGGTTGCAAACGTTTTACCACCTATTGGGGGGAAATCATCAGTGCGTTGATGTAACGTGGAGCGGTGCTGAGCTGGTGGTTGTGTTGAGTAGTTGTGTGCGCGTGTTTATTTACATGCTTCTGAAAGCGACCCTCGACTTTATTGGTTGCCTGGTAAGTAACCTTATCGACTGGACTTTTCACTCATGTTCCGACTGACCGACGTCTAAAAACCCTTCTACATATATTTATGCACTACGTCCAACGCATTGCTAACTAAGACGATGATAGTATTGTCTGGTCACGCTCGGGTAAACCTGCAAAATAAACAATCAACATAAGGATTTGAGTAAACTCGTCAACAAGGCAGAAGAGAAAAGCTGCATAAAGCCGTTCGTCGAAGGGATAAATAGAGAGTAAACCGTAAAAACTAACATGTTCGCTGTTCCAGTTGATCTTCATAATTTGCTTTCACGCGTGTCAATTCGGTCCTTGATTCGGCCTCCATTCTTTCCAGTAGTTCAAACACCACAGTTTGATCCAGTGCTGATGGAAGTGCATTGGATGAATCAGTTGAGCCTGTAATGCTTTGCAATGACTGTAGAGCAAGCTCGCGTTCCATTTCCAGATTTGCGCGGCTGGTAAGTTCGGTTTGAGTAACTGCCGCCAAAACATCTCGAAGTGTGGCATCAAAAAGTTCTCTGACGTCCGAATGTAAGGTTGATATGTCTCGAATCCCATCTGCCAAGTTGGCTAACGTGCGGCGCACATTATCACCCACAGTGGTCATATCTCCTGAACCATCGGAAGCCTGGGTTTTCGTTGAACTACTCGTTGGAGATGAGAGTCGATTAAGTGGATCGCATTCAACCTCCATCTGTATGGTCGAATTATTTGTACCCACATCAGGGGACTGCAACAAGTGTGTTAGCTGATACATTGTTGCTTTCAGGGAATTTACCTCCGGCTGTAATTCTGGAAAAGCCGAAGGCCGAACGGATGAATCAACAGCGGTCAGGTTCATTGATATCTGGTCGGTGAATTGGTGATGCTCTGAATCGGACATCTGGAAGAGTGAGAAACAGATAATAAAATGGGGTGTTCAGTCCAATCCAGCTCGAAAGGTGAACGTGACGGCGTTTCGCTTAAAGCGTCCGTAAAACTGCGGTGGTTTTCAGCTCAGGGTGTATTAACTGTCCAAATTTAGGTGCCTTTCCACTGAAAAGTAAATTCTGGTTCCGGGGTTATTTTGAAAGCGTCCCAGACTTAACATCGAGAGGCGTTTAAGTCAATCATGAAAAATATCCGGAAACAAACTCGATGCGGAATCAAAGTCTAGCTTAGTCCAGTTCGAACCCAACCTCTGCCTCCCAACTGCTCCCGTCTAGGCCTGGGCAAATTGGCAGTCTTTCAGCCCTCATCCTTCCTTTGGATGGCGTGCTAGGCACTTAAGGAGTGTTACAGGTGAACGATTTTCAGTTCACGACGTCACGACGTGACAGTGGATAGTGTAGGATGATAGGGGATCAAGGATGTAAACAAATGAAATATGGAAACTAATAAGTAAGAACCGGACAGAGAGGGAAACTACACTGGCTTCCAGACACTGATGCACGAGCGAGTATATACAAAAGGTGAGGCGTCGGACACCACACTCGAGCAGGCGACATTTACCGGCGCAGCTGAAGTCCATCGTTACGCTCCTCGTGCCCGGTCTCCATTTCAAATGTTGCTCATCTTGAGAGACCTTTCAGTAGGAACTACATGAACGAACAGAGTGAGACGAAGTAATCGATCTTTTAGTATATGAAAGACGTGGCCGAAGCAGTTGGCAACCGAATGAAGCTATTCATCGGGATAGTCGTGAATTTATTGCCAGAAACCATCTGCAACACTTTAGCGCTGCAAATCCGGTGAACATGTGCAATATTTCGAGGGTGCGAACGATCAAAAGTAATCAATCTTATTTTGTATTCCACGCGTATTATTCAAGCTTTTGGTGGTCAAGTAATACTATACGAACCACCATGCTGTAAATTGTGTTCCGTAAAGGTAAGATAATACCCCCATCGATAACTGTGTTGTTCAAGCTGTCGTTCAAACACATTGGGCGTAGGAAAGAGGGGCACTCGCCATTAAGCGTGCCTGGATAACGGAGTTTGTTCACTACTAACCAGGAGGTCGCGGGTTCGAGACTCTCCGGAGTTTCGTGAGATGCGCACTGCCGATGATTCCCAATAAGGATGAAACAGCTGTACAGTACTTCTCGGCTTTGTTCACTATCTTTAGTAGTCCAGATATCAAGGCTGGATTTGGTGTTATACTCATCCAGTCAAGCGGTGGCACTCGTGGCCGAACGCTTAGGTGTTCAAACTGCTGGCCAGGAGGTCGCGGATTCAAAGCTTCATTCAGTTGGAGAGCGAGAAAGTTGTGGCTAGGGTGCGAGTTTACTGACCAGAAGGTCCGTAGTTCGCACACGACCTCTGCATCTTGACTTATCCCCTCCAGGCTTGGGCAACCTGGCGGTATTCTGGCCCTCGTGCTTCCCTCGGGTGGCATGGCGGATAGGCACCGAAAGGGTGCTAAGATGAACTTTTTCTAAATTTTTACATACTCCACATTTGTGGTTGGTATGATATATCTTCGTTGCTCACACTGGAGCTGGTTGGTATAAGGGCCTCCAGAGGAGCCTCTGATCGGCTCCCGATCCAAAGGTAACCGGTTTCTGAGGTTCAGTTTAGGCGTCCTTTGGATGGATCCAAGCCATCCAGGTTGCCCAATGCGCCCTCAATCAAATGTTTGCCAATGAGCAGCATGTCCTCTGCTCCTCGTATGACTCTCGGTGGTTACGAGCCAGGAACGCTTCATACGTTCTAGCGAGAGTCCTCTCCTAGAGTGGAGTCCTTCACCTGAGAACCAGTCCAACGAACACTGAGAAGTCATGGAACAGCTTGAAAGTCCATTGGGCGAGATAGCCCAAGTGGTAAAACCGCGGATTTCCTGACCGGAAGTTCCCTGGTTCGAACCCGACTTCTACCCCTTAACTTCCTTTGTCTAGGCTTGAGCAACCTGGCAGTATCCCAGCCTTCATGCAACCTTCGGGTGGCATGGCAGTTAGGCTCCGGAATGATGCTACAGCTGAACGTTTTTTCAGCAGAATGTCTTCCGAAACGCACGCTTCACTTAGTGCGCAGCATGTCTCCACCTTTCCAAGGCTTGGACGGACCCATTCCAGTTACCCACGTCAGCCACCCTCATATAGTACCGCCCAGCTGTGCATATCGTGACAATCCTCATAATTTTACACCCACTTGTTCGTAATAAAGCTTTTGTGCCCTCACTGTGTAAGCCTCTGCCCATCACTAATGTTCTGGAGCTGATGTTTGCAGTCGGGTTACTGACAACACCCAAACCCACGAATATATATCGGTTACTACTGAAGCGTTGACGGAACTCCTGCTGCAACAACAGACTCAGTTTGAAGCAGCAAAGATTCAACCAATGGAAACCTCGAGCGGCAACTCAGGAGTCAGCAACTGAATTCCTTTTCAGGTACAAAAGTCGTTTACCCAATCGCCAACAACATTACGAAGTTCCACGATGAACCCGATGCTGGCGCGACCTTCCAATCTTACATCAAAAGTGACTGAGACATTTTCAAGACTAGATTGAACCACACGGTTGGTGACCGGCGAGTATGGTTGTTGTCCATAAAAGTTGATGCTATTCCAACCTCATTCTACCAAATAATACATGAGATTTCATCTTTGAGAAAATGGGGCGGCAGCTCTTAGAAATTGTGCGTTTGTTTTTGTTGTGTGTTCGCTACCAATACATGAATCTGGTGGGGAAAAGAGTTGGAAAACTGCATAACTTGTGCGAGTAGAGTCAAGCTCGAATGCGAACAGCTCAAACCATCTACCTCCAGTTCAAGTGTCTAAACTATATATTCGGTCCTCACTCACACTCAAGAGACGATGCCAGAACCAAAATGCTGAACAAGGTTGAACACCTCATGAGTGCTAACGCCTCTTGAGCTTGAAACAAGATACGGTCATGTTCGAGCGTCTATCATCCAACTCTGCTTTCAGTGGCGCCAAGACGATTTCAAACCAGTTTCCTATGTCAACCGATTCGGATGAAGCAAGGCCCACGGTGGCATTCTGGAAGTGTGGCGAACAGCATTTTGTTTGTCCCATAAAAGCAATTAACTTGGCAGTGTCAGGACCCCAGGCTAACGCAGTGCTTGTTATATATGATAACTAAAAACAGGCTTGTCAGAATTATACAACAAACACTAAAGAGGCAAAATTCGGTTGCGCCTAGGTACGGTTTCCGATTCTATGATCGTAGCCCGTCGCACCTAAAGGAAAAGTGATGCGCCGAAACACAGCAACAATTGACGCCGCCAGGAGGAAAGCTTCACTTATTCGGTGAGGTCATTACGTGAAGATGGCATACAATGTTGATCGTGGGGTGTCTGTTTTGGTACTTTTAAACTTAACCTCCTGGGTATAAATTGGGCCAATCGTTCACAGCTTTCAACACTACTGATCGGCAGTTTACGCATATTTAACCCAATTCAAATTTTGTCAGCGGTCATTAGTGCATTCGATGACGTTAAGAAGCCAGGGCTGCAGTTCACCTACGACAGCGAAGCATCGGTATTAAACACTGACGTCATGCTTGTCATGATTTTTATGTGCTTATTATTATACTTACCATACATACTCGTATTGAACCTTTGTATGTATATTTCAGCTCATCCACGCTTGTTCTTAGACAAGTAAAACGTTGCTTATCCTCGAAAACCCGGACTCTGTTCTAACTCGTTCTCGGGCACATTCTAAACGTCTCAATGCTGTCGAGGATGATGATGAGACACGAACGTCAAGTCGATTTGCAGATCAAAAAAGTTAGTAGGGCATGCGGTTTTGCCAACCCTCGCTACAGAACTCGAACAGCTTGAAGGTCGGACACCTAAAACCGGTGAGGTAATTTTGGTAGCCAGAAAAACCGAATGTTGAGGATCTATACAGATTGGTCTACAGGCTCGAATGACGCCTTGGACAACCATCATTATCCACTGTCGCTATCTGAGGGTATTTTATGTGGTGGACGGTTGCACGGCATCGTGAGGGTGGATGCCTCAGAAGTATACTCTCAAATGGAAGTCTTAATAAGAATATATATAGCGGACGACTAGCACGTGGCCTATTCTAAAACATGCCGTTACGGGTGAAAACTGGGTCAGCACTGTTACGAAAACTATGCGCAAGATGTCGTGTAATGCGAACGAGGCCGCCGCATACCTTTACGTAATCGTTGTGGGGGCGATCAAAAGGGACTTCTGTATCCTTTTAAGAACGTTTTTCAACGGACGCATGACTACAGTTTTCGGATAATAAAATAAAAATATGAGTTCCTGTTGAGATCGGATACAACCCTGCGAAAAATGGACATCAACCGGATCGACCCAACGCCGCTAAAATTTTGAGGGTGCCCTATTTCTGAAATCGTCGTTTTGGAGGCTGATCAGTTAATGTGGCGCTTTTCTACCGGGTACACGCTGCTTAAGGGAATCTTTCAACCAGCTTCTGACGGAGACACGCCGGTGAGATTGTATAGACCGGCTTTCCAATATGTGAGTGGACAATTGCAGTCCGAAACTCTATTTATGCAACTCCACCCCGACCCGACCATTCTCACTACTGACACAGCAATCCGTAGAGTTCCACCAGTCAGAACCCACGGTAGGGTGGGTGGTAGGCAAAAAGGGGATACAGATACAGAGCTCACATGTCATGCGAGTCCATCGTGAGAGGGAAAGCAGTCGGTCGTCTTGCTTACTTCAGAAGAAGTACTTAAATCGGCCAGACAGACCAGGCGTCGATACCTTAAGATTGACTTCGAGGTGCCTGAGGATGTAAGCACCGAATGACCTGCATGTATTGCATCCAAAACCGATGCCAGACGGACAGGGTCGTCATTCCTAACTAATGGGTCGGGAGAAAAGGCATGTGAAAGGGAACGGAAAAATGTGTCATGAGCAGTCCTTTCTCGCTATCTGTTTTACCCGCGCTGCTGTGTGCAGCAATTTAGGCGGTCGAGCTGACGACACCACGCGACGGCCAATGTGGTATGCTAGCATTGATGCGCACGAACAGGCGCATCACGGTAAAGGTCAGGCTCTTCATGACGGAACGCGAAATTTCAGCATTTGAGGTTTCACGTGCACTAGTAGTTGTGGTATCCCTGAAGACAGCATATCCGATAAAGTTAGTAAATGAATCTCGGTCAGAATCACGTTTGCCAACTGGCGTCACATGTGGCGCCAAAGTTGCATATAACTTGGTCTCAGGCATCGCGCGTACCGGACCCCAACAAGACTTGCCTTATATCAGCGAGACTCGGTCTCCGCAGGCGCATTACCTGGGACGTCTTTGGCTTCTATATCAGATGGGGCTGATTCTATTACCACAACCTCGGAAACAGTTTATCGTTAGTTCGTCACATACAAATTAACAATGCGTGATAAATACTTCATTTCCGACTGTATAGCTATACATGGTCGCTGAATGGCGCTTCAGGTATCATTGGTTTGTGTCAACAACACTCCCATCACATGTATGTAGAGACCATGTAAGTCGCCGTGGATTATATTTAGAAAAGCGTTACACCTTACGCAAAGTCGGAGGGCGACTGGAACAAACGCTTACAAACGCTGTTGCAGTGCATACAAACCAAATGAAGGTTCTACTTGCCAGTAAAATCTTACTCCTCATAGGTCACAAAAATGGAGAATCGGAAAGTTGTGGTAATAGTGATATTCACCAGATAGATTTGGAAAAGGGGTGTTCGAATTTTAGATGAGGAAACAATGAGTGGCTCCACAGCGTGTTAGTTATGCCTGAGCATAGTCGTGAAAGGTTGTAGATGTATATGAGGCGTCCTTGGAGTGATAACAGATTCAACCTCAGGAGTCGTTCGAAGTAGCGGAACTTAAAAATGAAGCAATACTTTATTGACTTTACACCGTACGTCTTCTATCGCATTGATGTTGAATTTTGGCAAGCATTGCGGTACTTCTATAGAAGTACCATTTAT